TGAGTCTCATTTTGCGGAAATGCTGTTACAGGTGAAGTGCACAAGTTCGAGAGAGAACGCTCTGAAAAAAAGAGTATGCCAGTTTGTTTATCATTATGAGTAAAATTAACAAAACATTTCATCTGCTTATTATTTGTTTAGAACTTAAAAGTATTCTTGTATGAATAAATCAAAGTTCATTTTCGTATTTCTTAGCACATTTTTCACAACAAAGATATATAAATGTATTGCTGGTGTTCTTTGTATAGAAAACAGATTTTCTTTTAGTGAATCAATAACTAAATTAACACCTGTGAACAGCTTGAAATTAGCGAGACTAATTACAAATTCAGCTTATTATTCGTTTTTCTCGTAAAAATAATACAAAACCCTTTCCTTTATGTAAGCTGTGAAAATAAACTGGGAAATATTAACATACGATTCTACTGATTGCGTAGAGGTTTAAATTCATGCAGTCAATGATGGCGAAACAAGGAAGGGATGTTCTAGAAGAACATTTGAAAATTCTCAGAACTGATGTTTAAACGATTGTTTTGAATTGGTGAGGAAAATGGCTCTTTCGATATACAGTCCTAGGTAATTTTTGGTTATCACGGAAAACGAAATCACATCTTTGTGGCAAATCTTTGGGCCTTATTATCCTCTCCAAAGGCCTTCGAGGACACTCTATGATTACTCCTTTCAATTTCTCTATCTTCAGTTCATTAACTCGAGTTTGCTATTATTTTCTAATCAAGCTTGGCTTTGAGAACCTGCCCATACTTTTCACGAAAAGCCATAAAATAGAATTCTATGGGTTTCCTTTGACTTTTCTCTAAACTATAATCACACTTAAGTGCACATTTCGTCATACAAGGCTAAAACTTTTGCTTTTTAAAATTGACTTTTAAGAATTGACAGAAATTCCTTAAGAGTTGGATTTAGTTTCGGGCTTCGGAAACAGAGATCAGCCACGTTATGACGCTGTTACTAATCAATTAGCGCCGAGACTAAACAAAAACTTAAAAGCTAAAAGCTAAAAGCTTTGTTTATAGATATGAGGGCTAAAATACACACGTTTGGCTGACGCCATTCGACAGGTAGTTGTGGATTGTCTTTACACTCCTCTGAATACACATTTTTAAAGGTAAATCTATAAACTAGGATGCATCATCTCCTCACCTGTAATCTTGGATATTCTCTATCTTGTCACGGAAAAAATCGTTTTAGATCTGAGTCTTTCACAGTCTGCTTTTGTTCCTATTTTTGTCCTTTTATAAATGATGCATTATGTTTTACAAGGAATTACTTAATCCAGCTGCTCGGTAAATATCACGCTTGGTTGGTCGCTGTTTGACAGTTATTACTCAACTCAGACATCCCACATGTTATGAAATGTGGGTTTTTGTCAATAATTTGCTTGACTTGACAGTAGGAGACAAAATATTTGATCTAGCCCGTTGACGAAATGCGAAAGAGCATATGTCAGTAAATCCTCTTTTGCCATTTGCTTCTATGGCAATGTGGGTTAATAATTGATTCCCTGGGCTTCCATTCAAGAAACTGCGCTTCATTTGAGCGTTTCTTTAATCACTAGAAAATTTATCCAAAATCTGGTTATAATTTCATGTCAATCAAGATACAGTTTCCTTATTCTCTGAGCATCTTTTCTTTTTTGTTTCATGGGCTCACTGAAGGAGCCAATCACAAAAAGAATCCGTGGGTTTGAGTTACATGACGTAATCTCTTTGACAAGCCCACCTCCCTTGCGCAGGTCATGTTTGTACGCTGTCTGCCTCCAATAAATATCTGATAATGCAGGACTCTGCTACTGTCATTTCAGGGGCATAACAGGACTTGACCTTTCGTCCATAACTCTTTTCAAGACTCCAAAAACATAAAGAGGTAAGATCATCAAAAGGGTTCTCTTATGTTGGGATTAAGTCGCGAGCTACGCACAAGAGGTAAACGGTATACTTAACGTTTTTTTTTGTTCGTAAATTTGAATAAAGGGGGAGTTTTTTTCGCTCAGTTGGGTTTTACAGGTGACCTTCTTTAACCTCACTGGCAATAACCTTCCCCCTAACAATGTAGAAGTGTCAGTTTGCATCGGAAAAATTTTCGAAACCTGTTAGGATATGGAAGCTACTGATCTTTAAATGATCTTGAAATAGTGTCAAGTTGACCTCTTTCTCCAAAAAAAATGGAAAGAAAAAAATAAAACTAAAATAAGATTTAAAGGCAAGGAGCATTAGATACGATCGTTCTTGCTGATTACAAACATTTTTGAAGGAGGTAAGCTTAATTTTAGCTGAATGAAGATAAATTTAAAATAACAGCAAATAAAATTTTATACGGTAATTAGTGATGTGCAATAGAGGTTTTCAGGGATCGTTTCACAGTCCGTTTTTACATTCCTCTTCAGTTCACAACTGGTCATGTTAAGATTTACACTTGCCTGCTTATTCTTCTTTATTGCTTCGCTGGAAGCAAGAAAAGGTTAGTTAATCTGTTTATCTTAGTCTGATAAATGTATACATTTCTATTTGTGTTCCCAACTGGAAAGGCTACAATGGTATCATGGTATACATTGTCATTTGATGTTTTAAAACTGGTATGTTGGAACAATATAAATATGACTTAAGATTTTCTGTGTTGATTATTGGTTTTTTTCGCCGTAAAACAGTGAAGCGTCTTGTCGACATCAAAGATATAAGCAAAAATAATCCACTGGTTTAGATAGATCGGAAAATAGAATAAGCTCCTTAAGTTAGCATATATTTTCTCGTACCTGAACAGGAACAAAAGGTTCCAGTTATTTGACTAAATATTTTCCTTTGATAAACCCTCAATGTGCCTTAGAATTACCTCTACGTGTTAAATTTCTATGAATTCGCCGAATACTTTTCAGGGGATCGTGATAGGTAAAGTTATTTAAAACCTGAGGTGATAAAAAATGAATGCAGCTTCTTTGTAACAATAAAATCGAAATAAACAGGTGTTTTGCTTGTGCTAAATACTGGTACGACAGCTACGAAAATAAGCGTAGGACTGAAACCAACCTCAAAAAAGATAGCAGAAAGACATTGCATGCATTGAACAAATGGAAAATTGCCTTAAACTACCTCCTGAAATTTCATTTCAGAATTTTACATTACATACATAGTAACAATTTCAAATATATTTTGACGATTTTCTAAATGTAAGGGTCAATAAAAACAAAAGAATAAACAGGGGCGGGAAAGTGAGATTACTATCTTCGCTTGTTTAGCAAAAATTGTCATCGTGGATTTAGAATTTTTTTACTTCTCGGATTATAGTTTGCAAATACAGAGTATTTTAAAGCAACATGGACGAGTCGAGAAGGATTATTAAGGATTACTACTTCGTAGTAAGAGGTCTGTCTTTCAATGATTTGACCCAAATGATTATTTAACGCCTGCCCTACTAAATGAAAGTAAACGACGAAAGCCCTGAGGAAACTCACATAGATCTACTCAGAGCATCGAGCATAGAAAATTATTGAAACAGACTCTGAAGGGAAAGAAAAGTCCAATATCACTAGAACATTTTTGATGTAAGTGCCAACAAATCTATTTGTTAATTACCAGCAAGATTTCACAAATGATAACGAGCTTACAAGCTTTGAACTGTTCGCCACAACACAGCGGTCAAACACTGCGCATGCACGAGAGTTTGAAGACAATAAGAGAGATTCCGAACGCGTGTCCAGTGTAAAGCAAGGAAAAGAAGATTAAATCCCAACTATTCCCATGCATAAAACAAATGAGATAAGGATTTTTGAAATTAAATCTTGGCTTTATTTTGCTGTGTGATATCCCAACTGTTTTTAACGCGGAAGCTTTGTTTCGGCGATAAAGGAAAATGATGAAACCTTTCTTCTACTCCTGCTGCACAATCTACCCTTCGTTATAAACATAGACCTGTGATCGTCACAAATATCTTGTGTGGCTCTGGTTCTTCCTTTTTTGACACATTTCCCTCGGTATTTACCGGCAACTCCACCATGAACACATCAAAGAATAATTACAGCCAGCACGCCCAAGTTTACAGACGACTTCATCACGCCGAAATGCAAAGTGTAGAAAAAGTACGAGTGTAAACTAACACTTGGTGGGTAAAGTCCAGAACACCAATGTGTATGTGTCTCGGCCTTAGAAACTTCTAACTTTAGAAACTGCAAAAAACTGCGTCTTACTTAGATTCTCCATGTTTGCAAGAGCAAATCATCCATCACTGTGCGCATGTGCAATTTGACCGCTGTGTTGTTCACCAAGCTCTCCAGCGATCCTAAGTAACCTAGCCTAAACTGTTCCATTGTTCCAAGCGAGTGAGGTCGCTGTGGTTGAAAACTACCCAGACTATCTTTGATAAAGAGAAAGCATGCAAGGTTTTCTTGGAATACATATTTGATCCAGCTGCCTTTTCACCTTCTTCAAAAGACTATCAATCCCTAATAACATGGAGGTTACTACCTAAACGCAAGAGAAAGAGTTTCTGTTCCAATGGCGTTGTTTGAATGCATTGGGAAACAAAAAGACAGTTGCGTTAAAGTCAGTGTCCTTTCTAATCAGCTGAAATATTTCTCCGTGTACTGAGGGCTTACACCATAGAATCTTTCTTCATGGAATCATAATGAAGCACAGTCTTACTGACACTGTCACTGTCTGTTTTAAAATGATCTGCTCCTGCCATGAAAACATTTTCTGCCTTTTGAGAAAGCTGCCACCGTAATTTATATGGCAAAAATTATAAATTCCTGTTGGCGTACTTAAATATGCTTTTAACCTTAATTTCACAGTTACAGAAGCTTACTTGCATCATGGAAAGATTGTCAAAATAACAAAAGAAGTGGAAGACGAGCCAGGTAAGCATAAAAAAGGTTATCAAAATACTTTTCTGTCTCTTTTCTGGCTGTCTGTGGTCATAAAAAAATCGATATAAGCACTTTCTTCTACAGTATGACTAGCAAGGATGCACTTATACTTGTAAGCCGAAGGCATGAAAGAAACATCGTCCGTTCCAATGTATATAAATTATTTGGAGGTAACGACACTGTCCTCATTTTGAGGTTCCAATGAAAGACCGAGACAATCAAAAGCTGTCTGCTAAGAATTCGGCAACCTGATTGCTCAAAAATGTCGTAACGAAGTCCTAATGCCTCTGTTTCCATCTCCTGACGATTTGTTTGGACAACCAGAGGCTACATAAAAAGTCATTCTTGAAGCGGACAAATAATTTTTGCGATAACCAAAGAAGCATATGTTTATGACCTGCTTGTTATGGCTTTGCATGCACGGCAAAGTTATTGATCCAAAATCGAAATTTTGACACATTTAAATAAATGTAGTAAGTAAACGCAGTAAGAAATAAATTCTTAGATCGATATTCAATTGTAAGTGGGAGATAAAATTGTATGGTTTCTTATTGAGTGAAAGCTGTTCTCTTTTAATTTTCGATTATCAACAGAGACAGTAGAGAAGCGTAATGCTAATCCGTGTGGTTACGGATGTCCGGCTTTATGTGCTCCTACATGCAACCCATCGTGTTGTGCCCCTCCGCCGCCGCCGCCACCACCACCACCTCCACCACCACCCCCGTGCCCCGTACCTTGCCCCATGCCAGGACCCCCTGGACAACCTGGATGCATGGGACCACCCGGACTTCCCGGATGTCGAGGATTTCCTGGTCTTCCCGGATGCATGGGACCAATGGGACCGATGGGACCTCCTGGTTCACCTGGATGCCCCGGTCTGCCCGCACCGCCACCACCACAATGTCCACCCATCTGCATCCATTACTGCATGAGAATCTGTCCACAGCAGTGCTGCACAGCCCCACCTCCACCAATTATGCTTCCCCCACCACCCCCTCCTCCTATGCCCATGCCATTCTGTGCACCTTCGTGTGCACCAGCATGTTGTAGGGGCAAAGTAAAAAAATCTTAAAATTGACGGGAAAGATGAAGACGAGCAATACTGGAACACTTACAAGTGCACTACTAAACCAAACATGTAAAGAAACATTTTCACCGTGGGTTTGGGGACAGTGGGCACTGAGTGCATACTGAGGAAAGGCAATGCAAGTGAACGCTTTTGTACATGACAACTAGTTTATCAAAACTCGCCGTAGAAAAATAAAGATTTATTTTAGCTACTTGTTTTGTCAGTTACTAGATTTGATCTTGAAGAGTTGAGCCATCTAGAAAATTTGTAGAATCTAACCAACAGTGTCGAGAAGGAACCCCCTGAGGATGATTAACAACTTAATGCAAGTGGGATGTTTAAACGTCGGAAATTCCTTGACATTTGGTTCGACGATCATTTATGAAATACTTTATTTTAAATTAAAAAATTTCGGACCAATGTCAATATCGAAGCCACTGTGTACCTACCCCTCGATCTCCTCACGCGGCAACAGTCAGCTGATAACAAGTTGGGGTTAATGTAGGGCTAGGGGAGGGGTCGGTGTGCAGTTGGTCAGAGATCGACATTGATCCCAAATTTCATCATAATTGCGGACTAATGTGACTACACTTGATGTGACCGAACATATTTCAACCTTATTGAAATACATTGAAATACGAATATACAAAAGTACAACAAAGAAGCTTTTAATTGTCAAAATTGCATCGCATTTTCTACGCAAATCGCTATTCACAGCTAAATGACAAAATTACAAAAATACTATTTGCTGAGAGGCTGAGAGCATTGATTCACAAAATTTCGATACTTTTATAATTCCCAGAGTCATCCAAAAGCATTCTCAACTATTCTTGTCACGAGGCATGATAGTCTTTCAAACTCTTTTTACATTAGAAAATATTGGAAAACTTACAACTCGAAACTGGTGACACAATGGACTCTAATTCATAGAAAGGCTTGATACATGTCTACACACGTTCATTTGACGTTACAAAAATAGCTATATATTACTTGTCGACTCTAAGATGTGCTTTTTTACACAGTAACATAATAAATCTTTTATAAGATTTGTATAATAACAGTTAAAACAAATATGTTTCTAGATACAGAAAAATCTAAAATTGAAAAGCGCAATAAATCTCTCTCCAGGAGAGATGAAGTGTTATACTCGTTCGAACTGGAAGTAAGTATTCTTATGGCGATTGTTCACAACAGAATTAACTTGGAAAAAAACTTCTAAAGTGCGAATTCTTTTCACTCAAAGGTTAAAACTCTGATCATAGTTTATCCTCTTTTACACATAACAATGTTATGATATTTCATTCTATAACGCCCAATCCCTGACATAAATGTTATTGTTCGCTGCGCCTTCAGAACCACTTGAAAGGTCATTCCAAGGACCCTTAAAAAAAAGACAAACCACAGTGTAAATGGAATGAATAAATAGATAAGCGCCTGCAATCTACAGTCAACCCCATCCCATCCTCAAGAGAAGAAGAGTCACTAAATGTATGAGATACTATACGTTATACGACGTGTTTAATAAATATGACACAACAGTACAGAGTATCAGGTTTACCCTACACCTCTGCGAAGGAAATATCGAGTTTATTACTCGACCAGTTAGGAAATTCTCATATTAGCCTCGGACGAAGAACCTGCTCTTTTTTCTAAACCTTTAATTGGTCAACCACACCGAAGCGACCTCGCTTTCATTTCGTAACAGAACCAAAACGGATATACGCATTGAAATAGAGGTCCAGAAACTAGGCAGCTATCTGTCACAGGATACTTGGAGAGCACTCGACATGGGGAGAGTGAAGACTTGGAATTTTAGGTAGAGTTAATAATTTTAGCTTAGTCGAACAGAGCATGTTAGATTTAAAAATGTAGGGAAAATTGTACAATGTCCTTTTTTTAATTTTACAATTAAATTAATTGCTGTAATTTTTTATATTATAATGGGTTTAAAATATGAAAAGTTTGTTGATAACAGCCGTGATCGTGATCGTATTTAAAGTTTTATTTACGTTACTTACTTGACACGTAATTGTTAGCTCTCAGTCGAACCGCTGAGATCTTCAAAAGACTTCTGAATTAGTGGAGTAAGAGGAAGAAATAGAATTAAAAGAAGTTAAGGGAAGTTTATATCTTAAGTTTTTCAAACGACAATGACATCAACAGCTGGTACTGCTTTTATAAGGTTGGCTTTACTCTATATTATAACATCTTTTTCCAAGAATTCTTAATTTAAAAAGTTTCCAAGAGTAGCACATGATGCACATATATACAAAAACATTTAAAGCTCTCTTGAAGGTCAAAACTTTGAATTACAATCAACTTTTTATAGCCACCTTTTGTAAGAATTTCAGGATTAACCTTTTCCATGTTTTCCTCTCTTTACTGTAAGTTAAGTCTTGTTCATTGTTTTAACAAGAAACCTTTACTTCGCTTACGGGAAAAACTGCTCTAGCAGGGTATGTTTCATGGAGTGTCCAGTATCAAAATCTATTTGCGCATATACTTTCAAGGTAACTTTTTTTCCTCATACTAACCACATTTTCAAGAAATTCATCAAAAACGAGATCATCATACGAAGGTTCCAAGTTTTGGATGGATCCTCTGGCCTGCACAGCCTGGGAATGCTGTTGACCCACTCTCGAAAGCTGTTCCATAGCGCGATTAGCAGCTCCCAGTCCGTTGGCGACCTCACGGAAAGACGCAGATGGTGGAGTTGCCCTTAATCGTCTGCCTGGAATAGTGAAGTCTTCGTCGATTGTTTCAAAAAACTCGGCTCCAGATTTCCGAGTGGGGCGATATTTTTTAGCTCTTACAGGAGTACCTCCCGGTAGATCATCATCACGTCGCCTATGAAAAAATAGACGGGTAATCATATTAACATCAACTAGAACCGCAAACTGACACCTTTTTTTTTTTTTTCCCTTAGGAAGGGAGGCGTTACCTTCTTGCTGTAACGGGAAATTAACGAGACTGGTTCCACAAGATCTAAAAAAATGTTCTCAAATAAACAACTTCTCACCTCCTTCGGCAACAGCAAATCATGACGATCAGTAAAACGAACAACAAGATCCCACAAACTGAGGCAAGGACAATCGCTAATAACCACATATTGACTGAAAGAAAGAGTGATGCATAGAATCAACTCATGGCACTCATAAAAACAAAGGTTTTCCATGAGACCTTGTGACTTCTGGAAATAACAGCAGACTTTAAGTCATATTCTATCGATGGAACACAAAATTCTACCTGAGTCTATGGGAGGAGAACTGGTCAGCTCTGCTCCTAATTCACATCGGTCGCCATAGAAACCTCGTGGACATCTTAGTTAAAAGAAATAGAAAAGAAATCACTTTCATTAAGATAGTATTACGAATTGTTCAGAAATAGAGTTGAAAGGAATCACTACTTTCAGTCAACAGCTTGCGAAAGAGTCTCAATTGAATATGATATTTCATTTCGTGTCTTTAAAGTGCGACGTGGAGTTTCTAGACCAATCACAGAGCTTTTTAACGTAAATTCAAAGCCATTTTTGGTTACTTTGTGACCTTAAAATTTGTAAAAAAGCAGAATCATAGGAATTTATGGTTACATTCTCACGGAGTAGAAAAGGAAACAGATCTTGTATTACTTATTAAAGTTACATGTATTGCAGTCCAACTTCAATATCCATTCAAAATGATATGTTCTTAAACTTGATTTGAAATGAGGCGAGTAATTGATCCAAAAACTCATATCTTGGTGACTGCAGTTTTTCTAAAGGTTATGCCCTGCTCAACTAGTGCCATCCTACCTGCAAATGTTTCCTACTGTCGAAATAATACACGTTCCTCCATTTTCGCAGTGATTAGTAGGACATCCCGCTGTAAGGAAAGACGAGAAAGTAATCCTTACTAAGATCTCAGCGAGGCTAAGTTTGAAGGTCAATACAGCTAACAACCAGAGTACAATAATAATTTATTGCACGATTTTAAAAATGTGTGATGTGGAAGAACCTCATTGACTCAAACTTAGTTAAACGTAATTTCCAGAAAATTTACTCAAGAAAAAAAACGATTTTTAGTTATCATCTCTCAGACTTCCAGAGATTCCAAATTGTGTTTGGGTCCTTTTGTAAAGTAAAGCTTCAAGGTTTCTACTTCATTTAAAACGTAGCAAGGTACTCAATAGGAAAAAAGATCAATATTACTGTAACTTACAATTCCATGATATACAAAGTATTTACCAAAGCAATATGTTCCATTTCCAAAGTAATTCATTTCTTCGTTACAGATGCATCTAAACGCAGAGCCTGTTAACGAGTAGCACGTGGCATTCGGATGGCAGTTGTGGGTTCCCGACGTACAGGGATTGATCACTAAAATTACAAAAAATGAAACCATTATGAGTGAAATTGTTGTATCTGAAAAATTTACATCCCTCATAGATGGGTGGGCATGTCCTTAATATCCAAATTTAACTCAAGAAATGATGAATCAGAGGAATTATTGGTTGAATAATATAATTACCAATCTAATCAACTACCAGAAAAAGGTTTTTGAAGGTGAAAAAAAGGAATTTGAAACTGTTATCGAGTATCATGAAACTCAAATTTTTTTCATTTCACAAACCAGTCAAAATAGGTTTGTAAAGACATGCATATACAGACAATTTAACTGGGCGTGAAATTGTGCCTAACACAGGCGCCAATGCGACTAAATTTTTCACTTTGGCGACCAAATCCTGAAAATTAGTCGCCAAATTGGCGACTAGAATGTTTCCTCATAACCTTACCTAGAGATATAGTGAATTATTAAGATTTGCAAAGACAAATCCGCAGCAAACTTCCTCGTTAAGTTGTTTCCAAAACGTAGCACATGCATCTCGATCGATAACTAGACGCCATCTTGGATTTAGGTGAGCTTAAACGTTGCATATCATCCATCCTAATGTCCACTTTGTGGCAAGTTAAAGATCTTTTCCCTAACTTAATTTCTGGAACGATGACAGCGTAAAAAAAGGTTTTATTTGTCTTTGAAAATGGCGACCAACTTTTTTTGAATTGGCTACCACTTTGAAGAATTTAGGAGTCAAGTGGCTATTAGAAAAAAATTAATTTCACGCCCTGAATTAAAAAGTTATCAAAAAGGGGATTGGCCCGATTAGGACTTGCCTTTCTGTCTACTGAAATAATTGGATCGCCCTGTGCTGGGATGACTTAGTACAGGTTGAAGTGTGTTTTGAAGGTTGCTTAACTTAACAGGTGTAAGCACCTTTCTACCTATTTTCCTACCAAAGGCAACATAGCATCAAGTACATAGTTGAAACTTATGTTACAATCTTCTTTCATTAACAAAAAAACTAGATATAAAATAAAACTATTGTTCCTTGACAACGACATACCGTTACACGTCACACCATCGCCGGAGTATCCCTCTTTGCAAGTGCACTGGTATGATCCAAATGTGTTAAGACACGTGACTCCAGGACTATTGAAGCTGCAGTTATGTAGCGATGTATTTGTACATTCATCAATATCTAAGTAAGAATAAATACATGTAAATCTCTGTTTGTTTGTCTGTCTGTCTGTCTTTCTGCCGGTCTGTCTTTCCGTCTGTCTGTCTGTCTGTCTGTCTACCTGCCTGTTTATCTGCCTGCCTGTCTTTCTGTCTGTGTCAGTTTCTCTGTTGTCTGCCTGTTTTTCTATCTGTTTGTCTTCCTTTTGTCGTCCTTACCTTGACACGTTTTGCCATTTCCAGCGTAGCCCACTTTACAAAAGCACTCAAATGATCCCACTGTGTTTTTGCAGATAGCATTTTGGTCACAATCATTTGTTTTCTCATCTAGACATTCGTTATAATCTAAAATAAAAAATAACTAACTCAGTGTGGAAAGATTGGCGTTCATGGGCAGTCACTGAAATGTGGTTATATAATTGACAGTAACAAGCAACACTACACTACAGATGTCAATCAACTCTGCACTGACTCTGACGTATACATTAGAATGAAATGGTTGACTTGAGTTTTGATTCTTAGCTCACCCTCTACAAAAAAAGTCTCTATATCCACTCTGAACGCCCTAAAGTTCGAAGTATTCCGCGTGTCGTTGACGCCTTCTGTTAAAATCCTTCTTGCTGTAGGAAGAACAGTGTCATTTTTGGTTGGTTCAAAGTGGATCAGATAGTCAGCCACCACGCTGCCATTTCTGAAGAAGAAGTTCGAAGGAGTCAAATGCAAAAACTTGATCTTCATTCACACGACAAAAATCTACCAGTGAGTTGAATGTTTTCCATAATAGTCGTACTCTTTTTCGTGGAATGTTAATGATATACGCTGCCATCGATGTATTTACATGCTTATTTGATAGCAGGAGAATACTTGTTGACTGAAAAGGAAAATCTAAACTGGACATGATAAGAACGCAAGAGAACATCGGGAAACTTCAGTCTTTAAATGACAAATGAGGTTTTTTTTCTCAGGATATTTTAACGTCTTTCAACGCTCAAGAAACAATCATCTTTTTTCACTCTATTAAAACAAGCATGTTTTTCGTAGTTTTTAATTGAACTATTGCATCTTCCATAAAAACGTAAGGCTATTTGCCACCTAAATTTCACTCTAACTTACGACCCTTCTTTCCTACCTAAATCCAAGAACTTCACATCCCTTGTAAACTGATGCAAGTTCCGAGTTCCTGTAAGTCTTGTTCACCTGTATGTCAAGGTAATTGAAAGCATTGATGTAGAAACTTCAACGGAACAGTTAACTAAGGTCAAAGCCACAATTGAACAGTGACCATTGAACTCGATACAAGTTCTTACCGCAGATATTATTTCGTATTTCAGCTCCTTATATTCAGGAGAGGTCTTATTGTCCAAAGCCCGGGTATATGTTGAGAAGTTGCCACCAGTTATTTTCATCGTTGCTTCATAAGTCTCGGTAGCTATGTAAAAAGAGAGATTCAACTTGGCATCTTATAAGTATCCCATGAAGATATAAGATTCCTCTATTTTCACAAACAAACAACTTCAACAGTATTCTTTGTGATGACCATAGCCTATCAACCGAATAACTTCAACGACACAAGCCTTGTAGCCCTTCCTTAATTGACGACAGACAGGCATTGGAGCCCTAGTGTAAGATTTCCCTAAATTACTATGAAGAAAAATTCTTAAAGATAATTTAGTATACCTCATCGGCTACCTTCAACAAATTTCCTCTCGATTTTAATTTCTACAAAATCATTAGCCGACAGCGGCTTGGACCTTTCCCCTCTACTTTTAAAATGTTATTTACTATTTTGGTACTTACGTTCGCAGATGCCACTGTTTTCTAGCTGGATTAGTCCCGGTGGGCACCTACACTCATAGTATCCAACGAAGTCGTCACAAACCTGATCTTGCCGACACGGTGAGAGATCGCATTCGTTTATTTCTAAGATAAAAATGCGTATTCATTTTTCATCTAATATTCACCCTGATAGGTTCATTTCTAAGGACAGCACCAAACATTGTGATAAAAATAAGATTCTTCTGTCTATAAAATAAAGCAAACCTGAAAAGAGAACCGATGGAAAGCTGAACAAAAATTACCTCGACAATATGTTCCATTCCCTGTAAATCCCTCTTTGCATGAACAAGAGAAAGATCCCTTAGTGTTTGTACATAGAGCATTCTGGTCACATGGATTGTTTAGGCATTCATTAACATCTAAAAAGATAAACCAAATTACAGATATTATTACACCCATCTTGAAATCACTGGTGGTCCCTGTAATCTGATTGGCTATAATCGGTGCGATTTATTCACGGATTGCACCATTTATTTGCTTTAAATCGCATCTTTTTCCCAACCAATGGGCACGCCACACGAAGAACAAAACAACCAATCAAATTTCAAGACTTGCTTGAGCAACCAATCTAATTGCAGGAGAATGAAAGACAAAGAGTATCATATGACAAATTTTGCTTTTGCTCCCAAAACTCTTCTTTTTCCCCAAAAAATGGATGAATTCAATTTCATCCCAGCTCACTACTGCATCAATAAAATATTTGTCCTGTATTTGGGCGATTTCAAAATGGATGTAATAAAGTGGTAATTGAACCTCGTGTCGTGCAATTTTGGTCTGAAATCATACTTGTGAAATCACGCGTATGATTTCAGCCCAAACTGCTCTCCACTCAGGTCAATTACCACTATATATCAACCCACATATAATACTATGTACCTCAAGACTGACTGAGAAGGCCGGCCGGGAAAATATTTGGCTCGAGGTCATGACGTAAGGACCGAGCACGCAACAAAACCTAAATATTTTCCTGTCTGGCTGGACCAAACTCGGTCAATAAGCATTTTATCACATCATCGATAGGTATAAAAAATTTTAGGAATTTTCTTTCAACCTAAACAGGACCGATAGACAGCGCAAACCCTATAACCACAAAAAAGATTAAATGAAAATCTTTTCCCCATGTTTTTTAAAGTCAGAACGAGAAACTCAGAATTAATAAAAAACCTGCCTTTTCTCAAATCTTCTTTTTTTCCTTTGTGGCTTTTGCAACAAATTCGTGTGAGTGCAGAGCTGGACGGCTTACCCGGACCAGCTCATCACAACCCGTCCGACCCTCAACACGTCAGCTTTCACTATGGTTTCCCGTGGACTTGTGCGTCCGGAGTCATACGGATCATATGATAAAAGCTATGATGTGTCGCGAGTTTTCAAAATCCATGGTTAAATAAAACATATTGCGACACGCTTATCCCATTTTACACTTAAAACGTATTACTTGCCATTTCAAGCAAAAAAAAAACCTACACACCAAAAACTTCTCAAAAAGTAGGGTTAATTAATATATTCAACAACTGCATTCCTCAAAAAAAACAAATACAAATATAAACTCTTACCAGCAAGCGAGGACGTTATTAAAACCGTCTGAATACTTGAAGGAAATATTCCTAGGGATATGCTTCTCGTAAACTCTTGAGAGGCCCGTTTAGAAACTGTCAGGGCACCAATACTGAAATATCAAGTGATTTCAGGTTAATAAACAAATAAAAAATAAATAAAAAACACATACCACAACAACAACACAAAAAAAGGGACACTCCATATCTAATATGATACGCAAAACCTCTACGTCAAGGATTCAAAGCGCATTCTTCATACCAACCCAAACCATTAGTGTGATACCAACATTCAAGCCACTATTAAAGAAAAACAATCGCCTGCTTTCTCTATTCAAACTCCTAGTAAGCGAAAATGCT